GTCAACTGATTTTTGACAAGGGTGTTAAATCCATTCAATGGGGAAAGAAGAGTCTCTTCAATAAATGGTGCTGGGAAAACCGGATTTCCACATGCAGAAAAATCAAACAGGATCCATGCCTCACACTATACACAAAAACAAATTCAAAATGAATTAAGGACCTAAATATGCAAATTAAAACCATAAAATTCTTAGAAAAACAAGCAGGGGTAACACTGTCAGGCCTAACTTTTAGCAATGGATTATCCAATATAATAACAAAAGCACAAATGGCAAAAGACAAAATAAATACAGTACGGATAGAGCATAAAAATTTAAAACTTTTGTTCATGACAAGACTTTACCAAAAAAGTGAAAGGACAAGCTACCAACTGGGAGAGTATCTTCAGAAACCATATATACAACAATAACATAATAACCTCAATATACACAAAACTTCGACAACTTAAACAACAAAAAGACAAATAATCCAATCATAAAATGGGCAAAGGACTTGCATACACATTTCACCAAAGAGGATATTCAAATGGCCACCAAACACATGAAAAGATGCTCAGCATCATTAGCCATCAAAGAAATGCAAATCAAAACCATAATGAGATACCATCTCACTCCCCCTAGGATGGCTAAGATTAAAAAAAACAAAAAATAACAAATGTTAGTAAGGATGTGGGGAAACTTGAACCCTTATCCTTTGCTGGTGGAAATGCAAAATGGTACAGCCACTGTGGAAAACAGTGTGGCAGCTCCTCAGAAAACTAAAATAGAACTACCATATGACCCAGAAATTCCACTCCTAGGTGTACACCCAAAGGACTTGAAAGCAGAGACTCAGACAGAGACTTGTACACCAATGTTCACTGCAGCATTATCCACAATAGCCAAAAGATGGGAACAACCTAAATGCCCATCAGCAGATGAACGAATAAACAAACTGTGGTACATACACACAATGGAATACTACTCAGCCAGTAGGAGAAATGAAGCCTTGATACATGCTACAGTATGGACGGAGCTTGAAGACATTATGCTGAGCAAAATAAGCCAAACACAAAAGGACAAATATTGTATGACCTCACTTATATAAAAAGACAAGAAAAGGCAAATGTACAGAGACCAAAGTTTATTAGTGGTTACCATGGGTGGGAGTGATGAGGAAAATGGGGGTTAACAGTGATGGAAAATGGCACTGATTAAAGGCAGGGTTCAGACCCGATTATTGTAATTGCTGTCAATAAGTTGTACACCTGTAAAAAACCGAATTGGCAAAGTTGGGTAATAGATATATTTACAACAACGACAAAAAAAAAAAGTAGCTGTTGAGGCTGCTTACATACAACCAAACACTTCACGGGATTTGGTTCCTTGGTTTGGAGGTTTAGGGTCATGGTTTCCTGGGATATCCCAGTTAACTGGCATTATAACATGTTAAGTGCTTCTGTTCAACCTCCTACTTCATTGTGTAGTGCCTGGGATGTTAAAAGTCTGCAAGCAGCCATCCAAGGCACAACAACTGGTCTCTATTCACCTGGAGCAACAGAGGAAGGAGAATCAAGAATAGGAGGAGGCTATGGAATGTGTAGCTAATTGCCTCCATGAACAACTGCTTCCTTTGCCATGAGACCAGAATAACTGGATGGTGCCCAGCTACCATTATTGAACATTTTGATCAAAGATTCCATAGAAGAATCCTGATTATAAGGGGAAAAACACAGAACAGAATTTCAAATTCTCAAGGACTCTAGACTTTCTGGAGCCATGGAAGGGAGATGACCTCTGAAACTACTGCCCTGAGATAATCTTTAAAGCTTAAACCAAAAATATCCCCTGAAGTCATCTTAAAACTGAACAATAGTTTAGATAAAGGTAAAAAAAAAAAAAAAAGGTCTGCGTTGAATATTATGCTCTTTTGAAAATTATCTACATGGGATCAAATTGACAACTGCAACTCAAAAGATTAGATAGAAACCTTAGTAGGCAGTGAGTTTATGCTAGTGAGGAAGGAACAACTCACAAAAGGAGGGTGAGAATGGTTGTACGACTCAAAGAATGTAATCAATGCCACTAAATTGTACATGTAGAAACTGTTAAATTGGTGTATGTTTTGCTGTGTATATTCTCAACAACAACAAAATAAATAAAATTTAGGAAAAAAAATGATCAATGGAACAGAATGGAGAGTCCAACGCTAAGTCCCCACATATATGGACCATTGATTTTCAACAAAGGTACAAAGGCAATTCAGCAAAGAAAGGAGAGTCTTCAACAAATGGTGCTGAATCAGCTGCATACAGCCTTATGCAAAAAAAGTTAACTGCAATTCAAACCTCTCACCATACACCAATAGTAACTCAAAATGTATTACAGGCCTAAGTATAAAATTCAAAACTATAAAGGTTTTAGAGGAAAACACATTTGAAAACCTTTGTGACCCTGAGTTGGGTAAAAATTTCTATACCAAAAGTATGATTCATAGAAAAAAAAAATTACAAATTAAATTTTATCAAAATTAAGAATTTCTGTTCTTCAAAAGACTCTCTTAAGAGAATACAGACAAGCCACAAAGTGAGAGAAAACATTTGCAAACCACACATCTCACAGAAGATTTGATTCCAGAATATATAAAACCCAAAACCAAACCCATTGCTGTCGAGTTGATTCCAAATCATAGTGACCCTATAAGACAGAGTAGAACTGCCCAATAGGGTTTACGGAAGCAGACTGCCACATCTTTCTCCCATGGAGCAGCTGGTGGGTTCGAACCGCCAACCTTTTGGTTAGCAGCCCAGTGCTTAACCACTGCACCACAATGGCTCCTTCTAGAATATATAAAGAACTCTCAATTCTCAATAATAACAAAACAACCCAATTTTTTAAAAAGATATGAACAGACACTTTACGAAACAAGTCATATGGATGACACCTAATCACATGAAAGGACGCTCAACATCATTAATCATAGCAGAAATGCAAATTAAAACCACAATGAGGTACCACTACACACCTACTGGAGTCCCTGGGTGGTACAAACGGTTAAGCACTGGACTCCTATCCAAAAGGTTCAAGGTTCAAACCCATCCACAGGCCTCAAAATACAAGCCTGGCGATCTGCTTCCAACAGGTCACAGCCATGAAAATCCTATGGAACACAGTTCTACTCTGCACATGTGGGGTCACCATGAATCAGAAGCTACTTGATGGCAACTAACAACAACAACACTCCTGTTAGAATGTAGAAAATTAAACAGAACGACCATATCAAGCACTGGCAAGAGTAGGTAGCAATTAGAACTCTAATACACTGTTGGTGGGAATGTGAAACAGTACAACCACTTCGGGAATCAGTTTAGTGGTTTCATAAAAGCAAAACATACACCTACTATATGATCTCGCCATTCTACTCCTAGGTATTTACCCAAGGAAAATGAAACACATATCCATGGAAAGACCTGAACGTGAACTTTCATAGCAGCTTTATTTATAATATCCAGAACCTGGAAACAACTCAGTTATTCATCAACAGCTGAATAAACAAGCCAGTTGAGGTCTATTCACATAATTATATACTGCTTAGTATAAAAAAGGAATGAACCACCGATACACACAATAGCATGGATGAATCTCAAAATAATTATGCTGAGTAAAAGAAGCTAGACAAAAAAGAATACAAAATGTATGATTCCATTGACATAAAGTTGTAGAAAATGAAAACTAACCTTCAGTGCAGAGGGAGCAGAGGAGTGGGATGCAGGGAGCACAAAGCACCATGAGGAAGCCTTTGGGGTGATGACTATGTTACTCTTGATTGTAGTGATGGTTTCACGGGTGCATATTTATGTAAAACTTATCAAATTGCTCACTTTAAATATGTGTAGCATACTGCATATCAACCATACTTTAATAAAGCTGTTTAAAAAAATAACAATTCACCACCAAGTGGGACTGAAGCTTAAAAACAGAGACTAAGTTGAATTATGAAAAATAAGGAAAGTCGTATTTTTTTGCATATTTGAGCGAGATACTAAATACGTAGTGTCAAAACAATGATAACCATTTGGGATAAACCTTCGGGTTAATATGGCAGTAAGTGTGTGTGATGGTAACTTTATGTGTCTGTGTGGCTAGGCTATGGTGCCCAGGTGCTTGGTCAAACTCTAGTCTAGTTGCTGTAGTTACATGGGATTAAATCAGTTGGCCTCTAGCAAAGCAGACTGCCTTTTATAATGCTGTGGGCCTCATCCAATCACTTGAAGGCTTTGAGAGCAACAGACGTTTTGCCAGAACTCCTGCTCTTTTCACTCTTCCCATCGCCAGACCTCCGGATTTTGGGACACAAGCCTGCAGGAGTCACCAGCCTGTTGCCTGACCTCTGGATTTTAAATTTGCCAGCCCCTACAACTACGTGAGTTAATTCCTTGAAGTAAATCAATCTTTGTGTGTATCACTGGTTCTACTTCTCTAGAGAACCCTGACTTAGACAAGGTGAGAAGGAAAAGCAGCGCCATATGACTCTCTATTTCAAAGAAAATAAATACACATACACGTTACATACGTGCATGTGTACAGATATACACACACACATATGTATCTTCAGAGTTGCAGGACCTCTCGGATTTCTTTTTAATCCAAATTCTTTAACAATGGGACTTTTCCTTTGCCTAATACGTGCAAAGCCACACACACCACACATAGTACTGCACTGTTTACAGGGAAAAGGATAAGCCAAGGCCATCTGTCATCTGTTTTATAAAATAATTTTTCTTTGTGTCACAGAATCACCAGTAAATCCTTGCCAAATTGAAAGCAATACTTCAGAAACAGAACTAGAAATAACTTTCAGCATACCACTTAGTTTTCTTTAACTTGTGACCATTTTTTAAAAGATATTACAACATCTTGGGATGATCAATCCTAATGTCTAGTACATTAAAACTCAATTTAGCTCCAGGGTAGCAGGCATATAAGCTGTACGTGGAGCTGTACACATAGACCCCACTTACCACTCAGAAGCCACCACAGCAAAGGGATGAATCCTGGACTCTCACTGATGTACTTTAAGCCTTTCAAATTGATGCTCACATTGTACAAGGACATCAGCATTAGCCTGAAATGCAAGAGGAAATGGTGTTGAAATGTTAGCCCACCCACACTATATTTCACTTTAAATATATCTCATAGTTAATAGGACCTTAACATACTTAGGGGTTTCCTTACATTTCAGATGCCCAAATTCTACAATCTGGATAACAGGTATTATATAAGGTATATGAAGTCATATCTGTCTGTATGAGGCTAAAGGAAAACGGGAAGCTTCAGTATTAGTATCATATAAAGGAGCCCTGGTGGTGCAGCGGTTAAGAGCTTGGCTGCTAACTGAAAGGCTGGCGGTACGAACCCACTAGCAGCTCCACGGGAGAAGGATGTGGCAGTGACAAAGGCTTGGAGAAGCGAACTGCAATCTAAATCAGAGCCCACATCCCAGACTAAACCCTGAGTGGTGCGTGGGATGGGAAAGCCCAAAGCAGTACAGCAAAGGCTTTGAAAATTAAACTGACATTGGAACCACCACCTAGAAAAAATAAAAAAGAACTTGCAATTTGATCCTAACCAGGTTGACTGTCTAATAAAACAAAAAATCCAACATTCTTCACAAGATTTTAACAGGACCCAGAGTCTCTCAACATAACATTCAGAATCTCTAGGACATAATCCAAAATTATTCAACATACAAAGAACCAGGAAAATGTGAGTAATTCTCAAGGGAAGAGACTATGAGCAGATCCAACCCCAAGATGCCCCAGATGTTGGAATTATCAGACAAGTCTTTAAAGCAACTATTATAACCATGCTCCCAGAAGTAAAGGTAAACAGTCTTGAAATAAATGGAAAAATAGAAATTCTCAACAGAGAACTCATACACTTGATTTCAAGACTTACTATAAAGCTAAAATAATCAAAGTGTCATATTGGCAAAAGGATAGACACACAGATTAAGGGAACAGAACAGAGAACCCATAAATGGTACACTGATTTCTTATAAAGGTGAAAACACAATTCAGCGAACGGTACAGGAGCCATGGACATCCATATGCATAAAAAAGAACCTCTACCCATACTTTACACCTTATACAAAAATTAACTCAAAATGGATCACAGACCTGAAACACAGAAGTCTTATGACTTTAACAGAAAATCCTTAAATAAACACTAAAAGCACAATCTATAAAAGAAAAGAATTGATAAACTGGACTTTATTAAAATTTAAAACTTTTGATCTAAGAAAAATGCCATTAAAAATATGAAAAGAGATGACACAGAAGAATATATTTACAAATTACATATCTGACAAAGGACTTGTATTAAGAATATATGAAGAACTCTCAACAATAGGAAAACAAACAACCTATTAAAAAAATCAACATAAGATTTGTCACTTCACCAGAGAAGATATGCAGATAGCAAATAAGGACGTGAAAAAACGTTCAACATCATTACTCATTAGGGAAATGTAAATTAAAGCCACAATGAGACACCACCACGCACCTACGAGAACTAAAACTAAAACGTAAAACTCACAAATATCAAGTACTGGAGAGAATGAGGAGAAACCGAAATTCTCATACATTGCTGATGGGAATGAAAAACAGTTTGGCAGCTTCTTCTGAAGGTTTTAAACATACCCCCCCTATGACGCAGTAATTCCATTTCTACATATTCACCCGTAAGGAATGAAAATTTATGTTCTCACAAAAATCTGCACACAGGTATTTATAACAGCTTTATCCATAATCATCAAGCACTGGAAACAGTCCATCACGGCACAGGTCGAGCATCACACTGACCACTGTGTGACCAGTGCCAGCTGATGTCGCACTTGGACACTGGCTGTAGATGGCAGCTTCTTCCCTTTGTAATGTTGGTGATTACTGAAGGGTCTGCAGATGTAATGCATCCTCGATGGCTGCACCATCCTTTAGGGCAGGGGTCACCAAACCACCGCCTACAAGTCAAACCTGGCCAGCTGTCCATTTTTGTAAATAAAGTTTTACTGAAACACAGCCACACTCATTCATTTATGTATTGTCTACATGCGCTTTCATGCTACAAGAGCAGGGTTGAGTCATTGCAGCAGAGACCAGGTGGCCCACAAAGCCTAAAATATTTTCTGACACTTTCCAGAAAAAGTTTGCTGAACCCTGCTTTAAGGCATGAAAATAAGATAAGCCAATCTTCCTAGATCTTAAAAGGCAAAGACACCATCTGGATGATAACTGTTAAGATGGGGCAAATTTCATAAAATATGTCTACTTGAAATCCTTCATTGACTGCTGTTTAAGGTGGCAAAAACGAGTCACAAATTGACAAAGAGTCTTAGAATTCCACATTTGATCAAAATTAGGCATCTTTAAGAAGCTAAGATGGAGCAAATATAATTGTGAAAACCATGGCACCACCTGAGACCACATGTCATGACTCCCCAACCGCATCTTACAGAAGACCAGAGACTTCTTCAAGGTCACAGGAGTTAGCAAACAACAAACTTTCCAAAAATGCTGTCTCCAACATAACATTTCTATTCTAAGCATTTTTAAAATAATGTATCAAGTTCCAGTTGTCAGGTAAAAAGAGACTGCGCATTCAATTCACTCTTCTAGTATTGAGATATTAAAAGTAAATATCATTTCCAAACTACTGTACTAGGAGTGGAGCCCTAGTGGCAGAGTGGTTAAGAGCTATGCCTGCTAACCAAAAGGTCAGCAGTTTGACTCCACCAGCTGCTCCTTGGAAACCCTATGGGGCAGTTCTACTCTGTTGTACAGGGTCGCTACGAGTCAGAATCGACTCAATGGCAACAGGTTTGGTACGGTTTCGTACCAGGAGTCAGATTTTTTATTCCAATGACAAAAAAAAGGTATGTAAATTCTGCTTCCTACCATGAACCTAAGCAGAAAATCCACTGTAAATGGGACTAATGGGCTCCAAAAGAGCAACTTCTCCATCTCTGCAGTCTTGATAATTTTAGATACGTCTGACATTTATAATAAAAGGACTGAAAGTGAAGCTAAAATTAAGGTATTAACAAATCTGAAAGGCTACAAAGCGACACAGATAACTAACCATCAATAAAAAGGAAGCTCTCTAGCTCAGTGCACAAGGCTTGAGGGATGAACAGATTCTTCAGTGAAGAGGAAGAAGGCCCCTCTCAACGGTCTGACGTGCAAAATGAGTCACTAAAGGTAAAAGTGACGCAACTGAACCACCTTATTCTACATTTTAAAAGAAAATATACCTCATAACCTAGGAGTAACAAAGAATAAACATACCCAGGACCTCAAAACAAACTAGCAATAAAATAAACAAGACAAAAGGCGTGATTGTGATGTTCACTGCCCAGAAAACAAGTAACACTAATCAGCCATCCTAAATTGACTAAAATCCGAAGTGGCCAAATTATCACCATAAAGAAATTCTGAGGAGCAATGAGCAGTAACATTCTTACAAAAGACTGCATGAATTATTTGAGAAAGAAGCAACTGGCACAGCAATGCAATCAGACATTTTCAGACCACATGACTCTCGACAGAAGTCTGCAGTTTCTAATAACTTACCGATTTTTAATAAGGAGAAATGCAGTAATTAACAGCTTAAATTCTGTGCCCCCTTCCAATCAAACCTAAAAATCTGTGGCCTCTAACATGTGTGGCCCTAATAAAATACCTCTATATTAATTTTTCTCTATCATGTAACGTTGAAAACACACACAAAAAAGATATAAAGAACAATACAGTGAATAGCCCCCACACACCCCTCCCTGCTTAGGAAGGAAAACCTTGCCACCATGGTTAACTGTCCCGCACACGTGCTTCAAGGAGTGGTCACCACTCTTCGACAACTGTATACAGTCAGGCAACTCTGTAGACTTTTACTACGTGCGTATGGAATCTTCTAATCATCTTCTGCACGTTTATACCAATGACAGCATACTGTACATCTTCCATTCCATGGTGAGATCTCTCTATGTTGATGGGTACAGTTCTCATTTATGGTCACGGTTGGGCTCCAATATATTAATTGATTACAAGTTATTTATCTATTCTCCAGCTCATGGACATTGTGGTAGTTTCCTAGTTTTTGCTATTAAAAGCACTGCTGCTATCACACTTCTGTACATGGGTGTGTATATATACACTTTCTCTTGAGTAAATATGTACAAGTGGATCACGTGTCACAGACACATGCACATTCATCCTTCCCTGGCATCCAGCTCCCCTGCCATGGTCTCCTCCCTCCAGCTGAGCAACCACCTTAAACTCTGGGCCTTCAACCAATCCATTAATGATACAAGTCCAGAACTCCAGCAGGTCTGACCCCAATTCTGACCCTAAGGACGCTAAAGAGCAGTTAGAATCGAACGTTAAAAAGGCTCTCGTAGCCTCGTCAATAAAGATTGGTAAGTCATAATGAGGAGCCCTGGTGGCGCAGTGGTTAAGAGCTTGGCTGCTAACCAAAAGGTCGGCAGTTCAAATTCACCAGCTGCTCCTTGGAAACCCTGTGGGGCAGTTCTACTCTGTCTTGCTATGAGTCATAATGAAGCATGAGCAATAAGAAAAAGTAACCTGGCCTCAATGAGAAGGTGAAAAAATGAGAGACAGAGAGAGGAAGGAAGAAAGTAAGGGAGGGAGGGAGGAAAGGAAGGGGGAGATGGAGAAAGAAAACTTAAAATGGCTGTAGGCTATCCTAACTCCTGAAACAGATCTCCAGTATGACACAAAGCTTTCAGCTGTCTAGCTCTCATGACTGTCAGAAGAATGATCCTGAAGCAGGCCCCGTGAGAGCAGTAGTGAAGACAAGCCACAGCAATGAGACAGACTCAGAGGTCACCCCGCCGGCCGCAGGGTCAGGAGGGTGTTACATGGCATCTCTGCAAACACAAGGGAAGAGGGTGGCAGTTCCGGGTACAGTGAGGAGCTGCGGGTGCCGGCCTCACAGGCACAGGCCTGGGTGACCCACGGCCAGAGATGGAAGGCCAAAGGGCCAAGGACGGTGAGATGGGAAAGCTCCTGATGCATGTTGTCCAGGTTTCCGAGGGACTGAAGAGACTGT